AGAAAGAGGAGGAGGAGAAAGAGGAGGATGAGGAGGAGGCGGATGGAAGTGGTGGTTCAGAAGAATTGTCAGAGTTAGTTGGCGGCGGAGGGGACGAGGAAGAGGCGGTCGGGGGGACGATGGTGGGTGCACTTCGAGAGGCGTAGTTGATACGAAGGTGCCCAACAAGTCCGATTGGAGCCTCGAATGTCCATTGACATCGAGGACACGTTGGAAGCAGTTGGGCGGCGGCTTTGCGTACTGGGCGATGTTGGGATTTGCGGGCTTCGCGTTTCGCCTTGGCGGCAGCGATGCGATTGGCTTCGTAGATCGCAGCGCCTGTCGTCACAGTACTCCTCCAGGTCAGTCGATCGAGTGCGAGCACTTCCAAGTTGGCCGTGTTGATTTGCAGGCGCTTCAGGGAGAACTTCAGAATATCCTTGTAACGGCGAATCTGGCCTCTTGGCGGCGAGAACCCGTCGCGACGTCTCCGTAGAAAAGTCGTTTGGCTAGTCGCTCGTCGTTCATGCGCACCAGGTGGCCGCTCCCGCGCAGCTGAAGTTGCCTCAGTATGGTGTAGATGCTAAGGATTCCCGTTTGTTTCAGCACATCAGTGTCGGGGATTCGATCCAGCTACTTCAGCGTCAGGCTGCGACGAAGACAACTGACGTGGAAGTGATTCAGTCGGCGTGCCTGCTTTACGTACACCATCCAAGTCTCCTCTCCATACAGTAGCGTCGGCAGGATGACGGCCTTGTACATCTTTAGCTTCGTGCTCAGTTGAAGACCGTGGCGATTCCAAACTGTGCTTTGGAGGAAACCGAAGGCTTGACTGGCTTTCGAGATCCTGTTGGCGACTTCGTCATCGATCTTGGTGTTGCAGGAGCGGGTACTGCCCAGGTACGGGAAGTTCTCCACCACTTGCTGTTTGGTTCCGTTCACACTGATTTGCGGCGGCGCATTGGGGGCTGTGGCTGAGTTGGGTGGCGGTTGATGCATCTGCGTGTTACTGACCAGACCGAAGTTCTCGCAGGCGGCTGAGAATAGGTCCATGCTGCGTTGCATTTCCTCTTCCGAGGTGGTGTTCAGGGCGCAGTCGTCGGCGAAGAGGAGTTCATGCACGGTGGTTGTGGATACGCGCGATTGGAGGTTCATGCGCCGGTGATTCAGGAGATGACCGTCCGTTCTATAGGCGATGCGGATCCGGGGGCGTTCGTCGCGGAATGCTTCTATCAGCATGACAGAGAATATAAAAATGAAGAGGGTTGGCGCCAGTACGCATCCCTGCTTCACTCCGGTGGTCACTGCGAATGCCTCTGAGACAGCTGCGTTGTCCGTGACTCGCGCCATCATACCGTCGTGCAGCTGACGCACCATCTGAGTGAATTGCGCCGGACAGCCAAATTTCTGCATAATCTTCCACAGTCCTTCACGATTCACCGTGTCGAAGGCTTTCGTCAGGTCCACGAAGGTAGAGTACAGGTGGGTACGCATCTCCTGACACTTCTCCTGAAGTTGACGGGCGGCGAGATCATATCCGTGATCCCACGATGACGCCGGATGCCGCATTGGCTTTCCGGCAGAAGGCCCAGTTCCAGATGGTTATTGAGACTGTTAAGGAGGATTCGTGCGAAGATCTTCCCGGCAATGTTCAGCAAGGAGATGCCACGGTTATTGTCGCAGACTTGGCGATTCCCTTTGCGCTTGTAGAGATGCACGATGGTTGCGTCCTTGAAATCTAGCGGGACTTTACCTTGATGCTACATCTCCTGGAAGAGCGCAGTCAGGGACCTGGGTGCTTGTAAACCTCAGCACGGATTGCGCCGATCCGGGTGCTTTCCCGCTGGAGAGCTGCTGCACGTCCCTGATGGTCTCCTGAAGAGATGGCGGGAGATCCACTTGCGGCAAGCGGGCGATGGCGGCGTCGAAGATGACGGAGGGGCGGTTGAGGACGCCTCGGAAATGCTCGGCCATCGCTGCAGGATTTGCGCCTTCTCAGTCAGGAGAGTACTGCCGTCATCGCTGAGGAGAGGAGCAGTGCCCTTCGTCGGCGGACCGTAGAAAGCTTTGATCGCAGAGAAGAATTTATTCTATTCGTTTCGGTCCGCGTACCCTTGGATCTCCTCAGCTTTGCGAGCAGTCCAGGCGTCCTGCATCTCGCGCAGTCTTTGCTGAAGCTGGCGGCGACTGCGGTAGAAGGCAGATTTGTTGTCTTCAGTGGGGTGATCTGCGTAGGCTTTGTGTAGGCGGTTCTTCTCAGCAAGCAGATTTCTGATGGCGGCGTCGTTGTCGTCGAACCAGTCCTGGTGTTGGCGGGGAGCGCGACCGAGGACGGCGAGTGCCGTCGACTGGACCGTGTCTCGCAGTTAACACCAGCGGTACTCCACGGAGGCGTTCTCGGCAGTGGCAGCGGCGTCGTCGGCGGCAGCAATATGAAGGTTGTCTAGCCGTTCAGCTAGCAGATTGCTGAAATGAAGATGGTGAGTGGGCAAAGACAACAAGGCAACATTCAGCTTACCTGGGGGTCGCTTAACTTGTGGTCTCCTGCGAGGCTGTAGGCGAATACGCATCTTCGAGATGACGAGGCGATGGCCAGTCCACCCGTCAGCGACCGCGATCGCCTTCGTCACCAGCACGTCCCGCTGATCTCGCCTCCGGACGAGGACGTAGTCCAGCAGGTGCCACTGGCGCGACCGAGGATGCCTCCAGGTGGCCTTCTCTCGCTCCGGCAGACAGAAGATCGTGTTCGTCAGGATGAGGCGGTGTTCTGCACAGGTGCGGAGCAGCAGAGTCGCGGAGACCGTGGGGACCCAGCACTCCTCTCCAGGCAGTATGGTCTGTGCCGACGGGGGCGATGAAGTCGCCAAGGACAATCAACTTGTCCGCCTTCGACACAGTCGCCAAGAGGGAGTGCAGGTCCTCGTAGAATTTATCTCTGACGGCGTCGGTGTTGGTCATCGTCGGATCGTAGGCGCTGATGATGGTGGCGAATGAGCCCCCATCCCCGAGAGGCAGACGGAGGCTCCTCAGGCGATCGTTGATGCCCTACGGCAAACAGGGCAGCCGTCCCACAATGTCATTCCGGATGGCGAAGGCGATGCCCGCGTCTCGTCGCTCTGCCTTGGGTCGACCACTCCAAAAGAAGGTGTAACCGGCACCCACCTCCTCCAGTTGGCCTTGTTCGGAGAATCGGGTCTCGCTGAGTGCGGCGATGTCCACGTTGTAGCGCGCCAGTTCTCGTGCCACTAACGCTGTCCTCCGTTCCGGTCGATTGCTCCTCGGATTGTCTAAAAGGGAATGAACATTTCAGGCTGCCAGAGTGAGCGGACTCACTCTGCCAGTTTGGCGACTGGGCGACGAAGATTAAGAGGAGGACAATAAGAAGAATAGGCTGGAAGAGGAAGAGAGTGATTGTTGTTGATGTTGTTGTTTCGGTTTTAGCTGTTTCGACCGTGCGTTTTTTGCCTGCGGCCACGGCCAGCCTACAGACAGCGTGGTTCCCAGCGATCTTTAGGGCACCTTTTCTAGCCCCCTCCCCCTCACGTGGGTAGGCAACGCATCCCTGAACAGGGCTACCCGGTTATCCCAGACGGCTGTCGGACTCCACTATGGGTCACGACTTTTTGTTAGTGAGAGAACGACCCGAATTAGCCTGAGACCTTGGTGGTGATGGTGATGTGACGGAGTGATGTAGGAGAGAGCATACACACTACCTAACGCCATGGGACTTAGAAATAGAGTGGACAAGCAGACACAGTCATCAGTCAGAGACAGAAGTGAGAGGGCACCACTAAAAGTTAAGCCCCGTAACGCCTAGCTATTAGCAGAGAGAGGCATAGACTGACAGACAGACAGTCGCATCAGTCATCGAGAGTTTTATCCAGCTATTAACAGACAGGCTAGCATATAGAGGGCAGGCAGCAAGAGCAGCATACGACACGGAACTTCAACAGATAATAGGAAGAAACAGAGCAAATGCACTTACCTGGAGAAGAACTTACCTGGTTGCCTTCTGCGATGGTCCAGGCAGAGCCTCGTCTCGACGATGTCGACGCAAAGATCCATCCGGCCAGCGCAGACCGCATTACCGCGAGTGCAGGTGCTCGCACTGATACCCTCACCTGGTTTAGCCCGCCGGTCGAGACGGTTGCCCGGGGTGTGGCCGCTGAGAAGAGCCCAGCTACGTGGAGCCACATATGAGAGTTAGGTGCCAGCAAGTGGACGCTAGGCGTAGTCTCACCTGCAAGCAGGTGAGCGACCACTACGACCATCACGTGGACCCACTGCTGACACCCCTACACCCAACACACACACGGGAGCCGTGGGCGATACGTCAGGCCGATTAGTGAGCGAGTCAGTTAAGGTGACACTTCCAAACAGATTCGAGCCCAGCATCTCACTCTTCCGCCATTTGTTTGGTGGCCCCAATACTGTCCTTCACGTGACGTCATAAATAGTTCATCATCTATGGCTATATGTCTTGATCGATTACCTATCGTCTCACCCAACATATTCGGTAAATGTTTTGAAATAGACCCATCGTTCGCTCATTGTTCGAGAAACATGCAATGAAACAGACTTCGCATATGAACCCGGCCCATTTTGAATACGCAAGCTATGCAATATGTACTTAATATACGAGACGTCATCTCAGTTACGGTGATGTATTGCGTGACCTTTTAATGATATTTCCAACGTTACCGAATCCAAATGTATCTTATTCACACCTGAATGCTGACTTTTCAAAGCGTTTCTTTTCTAGTTACCATCGAATTCGAATGTTCAATAAAACGCATAGGCCCATTTTACAAATATGTACACTGATTTGCGAAAGAACTAAATTTTGCATCATTGCGTTTTTTCAGCATGTTGCAAATTACGCCGTATATACTTATTGTGCCCCATATTACTACAGCGTTTAATTAAGTTATTTTGCAATTTGTTGGTTGTCTCATGAAATACACGCTATGGTTCATACCCATTGAAATCTGTTTGAAGATATTTATAAGATCTCCTTAATAGCGTACAGGGGTTTACCATATTTATTAAATGGGATAAATAAATTTTCATTTCGCAACTCCTCCCGCTCAGTGGCGCGTCTGTCGCGTTCTTAAATTATCCTGGTATTTCAAAATTTGGAACGGCAAGGCAGTATTACGTCAAGATAAATGCTTGAAGGTGCTGAAGTGTATGAATTTCTGATCCTTCTATACATTGATTTATATGTCTGCACATAGTCAATGGAAAAGCCATATGAATTGGGAATTGATTTTTGAGAGTGCAATTTTGCTGAATGCTAGAGAGACTGTAATTTTAATGTCGAATGCCCGTCCGTGAATAAAGCATCTATCGATTATGCCGCTTACTATGCAGTATTGACATCCCATTAAAATAAGCATTTCTTATGTTGATGACATTTTACAACTGCGGTCAGTATCCCAGGCAATAGGCTGCGGGCCACAAAAAAATGAGCAAATACTCCGTATTTTCCCGCGAAATCTCACAGAAGAAAGCGTAGAATTGATAAGTTTTACTAATTTCATAGGCGTCTGCTCGGATTCCCAGTATTATGTTAAGGCGTAGGCAGACATATCACGGTGAAATGCGGTCCAGATACAGCCGCAAAGCCGACATTGGCGAACTATGAGTTTAGGTATTCTTGCTGGGCCATTGATATTCATGTGTTTGAAAATGGGCAGGATAAATGTCTGCTGAAATCGTTAAACCTCCAATTTACAGTTTCTCATTGAATCACAGCTTTGCATATAAACACGCGTAAAACGCACTGAGTAGCAGCAGTGATAATGAACAATACAGATTGACAATTATTTTGCGAAATCTACACTTCTCATTCGACCTTCCATCAGACAGGTAATTGCATTCGTAAAGTCAGATAGGGGGGAGACAAATTGATGTGGCGGCCGCTCTGTCAACCGCCACATCGATTTGCCTCCCCCTATCTGACTTTACGAACCGTCTTAGCGATGGGCACAGTCACGACGCGGGACAATCGGGGCCGTCAGTCATCACCACGGCCGACGGGGGCGATTCAGGTCACGGCGACATGCGGGTTGGATGCAGCCACACAGGCGGCATTGGCGGATCACGCATTGGACAAAGGGCGCCATTATAAGGAGTGCTGTTCACAGGACCTCCCAGTCCCTGAAGATGGGTAGACGGATAAACTACCCGAAACGTCGGATCTCAAATAAACCTCTCCCGGTGAACGCCCCCTCTCCTTTTGATATGCCACCTGGGAATCGGATTTTCACTACTATTGATATTCGTAATGCTACTGTTCTATTATTATTCTCATTTTAGTCCACTGACAGGGACTGGTCCACTCAATAACAACATGCTTAAAAGACCACATATGCTTAACCTTGTGCGTTGGAAGATATCGTTGGGCTCCTTGACGAGCTATTGCGGTTGTGCGAACATGACAAGCGGAAGTGACATATGGGAGCATTGTGTCGTAGATAGAGTCGAAGCATAGATGTCAGTGAGCAGTTCACTGGTGTTCGACAGACAAGCTGATAGGCTTCTTTCACGCCGACTTGGTCATTCGCATGCACTAGATGCGTAGGGATAAAACTTAAATTTACGCTATGCTCAACTCTACCTAGTCAGCAGGCAGATGGCCGCATAGCCCCTTCTACAAACGTGCCCCAATACGGTCACTTAATGACTACATGCACACTGATGTAGCCCGCAATGTCAGTGAGTATTAACCATTTAATCATTGGAGGAGGGGAGTTTGTGCCTGATAGGTACCAATTCGCCGCGCACGAAACGCATATGATTACTGTCATTAAACGTCATTTTACTAATTTTCTATGTTACGTTCTCTTGGGAGGGCAGAACACAAACACAGCGTACGTCGTCGTCGCGTATGCCTTTCTACAATAGCTAACGCTATCCGCACAAGGACCAACAAAAACACGGTTGCTGAATATCGAAGTTTAAATGTTTACCGTTCAATCTCCTGCAGCTTGGTGCAAAATTTCGAAATTCAATTTGATTCACAAGAGGGTAGCTAAGACCACTAACAGCACCGGGTGGATTGTTCACACTACAACCCGTGTGGCGATCAGTTGGCTTTTGTTACTTCTTGAAAGACTTGACCTTAAAATTGGTTAATCAACCGGATATATTAGTTTGGAGCCAATTAAGCCATTGCACAAGTTATATTCTTGAATTAACTTTATTCAGATTAAGCACTTGCCTGCTCACCGTGTATGTTCATCCAGGTAAGTTTTAGAAAGGGAAACATAGTCGAACGACTTTGAATTCCCTATTTTTCACAGATTGCCTAAATGGAAACGCCTATATATGACATGTTGGAAAAGAGCTTGTTTGCATAATTGTATGCGAGAAGAAAAAATCTGTCCGCTAGTGTGAAAAATGATAAACAGTAATGTCTACTTAAGCATTGTAGGTAGTACGGACGTGTGGATTTTCGGCGGCTGGTTATGTGGGTGCTTGTGGGGCTGGTAATTTGAAAGCTTGTACATGTGAAGTTTGCACTTAAATAGATCCTCACCGGCGGAGAGTCCAACGTCAGTTGGCTGGTCGTTCCAGTCTGCAACCAATCTGTTGGTAAACAAAACTCATTGACTGACCTTTGCTCTACATTTAAGGGATGCCCGCGCAGAGTATGCCGGTTAGGCCGAGCGAGAAAACCGCTAAGGATAAAGCAATAGTTCAGGCCACTGATATTGCAGAAGGTGAGTATAAGATTACCGAGCACATGCCTGTAGCGAAGGGCAAACGAATTTATAGTCAACAGTATTTTTTATGCGGCAGTGCTTCCAGACCTTTCGCCATCTTTGTGGTTCGCATTTGGGTTTTCTTTAATACGGTTCAGTCTTTACAGTCCAGCTAATCCATGCCTGTAAGGCGTATTTCAGATGTGGCCTTTCACTGTTGCAAATACTTTTAGAAGGTATGTTTGTAAAATTCCATAACGGTTCGTCTGTTGGCTTGCAATATACAACAACACGAGAATGCACATTCGAGCGCCTCTTTTATTGTGGAGTACCTTTAGCACTTTGCGGTATGCAAGCATCGTTTGTCATTATACCGACTGAAACAAGCTAGCAGGGTTCGTTTGAAAACGACGCCGTAAAATGCACAATGTCATGCGATTTTGACCGACAGTTTTCTACATATTTCGAACAACTTTCCACCTTTTAATGAAGGCGATGGTTTGGAAAATCCCGTTCCTAACGTCTATGGATAGTTTTTATAGTTGCCGTAGACGCACGCATAATAAATGAATTAATAATCTAATGTCTGACCTATATTTCGGGAAAAGTTACAAACAGGGATTGAAGACCAGTTTGCTTAGTGGGAGCATAATTAGACTCCTTCCTCCGAAATGGATGCCGTTCTCTTTAATTTCATCAGAATGTAAGCGATAGCACGGAGCAAATCAGTCTGCTCTAGACTTATAGCTTTAGACTTGGAGATATAAATCTTGAATAGACTTATTTACTAAAAGTTGAAGAACATATTATTCAAATATCGACATACCTGGAGCATCAACGTTCCAGATATTAGGGTCATGAGACATTTAAATGCCTAATTCAGGTTCCCATTTGAAACAGGCAAGTGCTAAATACGTTATTTACCAACTTTTCGCTCAGAATTGACGTGAGAAAGAGGATGGATTCATGCACGATTAACAAACACTCAGATACTTTGTCTGATCTGTAGGTATTCCTAACATTTAAGTTTGGATAGTCTGCCCAGGTTACACGAGCAACGTTATTTACAACCGTCAACGCATACATTGATGGATAGTGAATTCTATAATATATCCGTTAAGGTTTGAGCAACTAATTTTTGTTATTTGCATACTGTCTCATATCCTCATCGTGTTGAGTTAGCGACCACAACGAACCTCCGAGGTACGCGTAACTGGCGCCAAGCTGGACGCTCGGAAGTTCTTCTTTTCAAACAGAGTGATCGAGGCCTGGAATGCTCTGCCTGCAGGTGTCGTCATGTCCGCCTCCGTCGAGGCTTTTAAGCGCAACTTGGACCAGCTTGCCACCAATCGTCATAATGTCACCTGACAGATTGT